AATACGGCCAAAACGCTCATGCAAAGCTCAATGGAATCGACATCAGTTCTGCCACCAATACATTCGCGGAAACCGTTGCGGGCTTGAGCATCACAGTGTCCAAGGTGACCACTGACGACGTCAATCTGCAAGTGACGCCGGATACCAATGCGATGAAGAAAAATATCCAGGACTTTGTGGCTGCTTACAACGCCGTGAATGATCTTCTCAGCAACTCCACGAAGTACGACCCTGAGACCAAGGTGGCTGGGGTGCTCCAGGGCGATAGTACGGCGGTTGGGTTGCAAGGGGCGCTGCGCATGTTGACCATGGGTTCGGCCAACAGTGCTGGTGCGTTCCAGCGATTGTCTGATGTCGGGATCTCGATGGAGCGGGGGGGCAAACTGACGGTGGATGCCGCCAAGCTAGACAAGGCCATCAAGGATCCTGCGTCTCTCAAGGCCTTGTTTGCCACTCCGGCCGATACCGGACAAGGCGGTGGAATCGGTGTGCAATTCAAGAGCTTCGCATCCGGGCTGCTGTCTTTGGATGGACTCATGAACAACAAAACGGACGCGCTCAATGCGGCGGTCAAGCGCAACACAGGCGAGCAAGACAAGGTCAACGACCGCGCTGCACAGGTGGAGAAGCGCCTTCGAGCCCAGTACACCGCACTTGATACCAAGATGGCTTCGCTGACTTCGCTGGGGGGCTATATCAACCAGCAGGTTGCATCCTGGAACAAGGCTGGAGGATAGTTCGGCATGCGGGGCAAAAAACGTTTGAAATCTGCTTGAGTTTGGGCGGCTACTGCCGAAAACAAAAGGTAAGTAGTTAGAAGGATGAAGGCCATGTACACCCCCGTCAGTTCCCGTGCCGCCAACGCCTACCGCCAGGTAGGTGTGCAATCTGGTGTGGATGGTGCAAACCCCCATCAGTTGATCCAGATGCTGTTTGATGGCTTGCTGCAGGCGCTGAACGAGGCGCGTGGTGCCATGCAACGCGGCGAGATGGAAACCAAAGGTCGGCTCATCGGAAAAGCGGTGCGCATTCTTGATGAGGGGCTGAAGGCAGCACTCAATCCGCAGCAAGGCGGAGAGATTGCGCAGAACCTGCGGGCGCTCTATGAGTACTGTGTCAGCCGCCTGACCCTTGCCAATCTGCGCAACGATCCGGCCTTGCTGGAAGAGGTGGTCGTTCTGATCGAACCGGTGGCGCAAAGCTGGGCTGCGATTGGCGGTGCGCAGGGGAATGGGGAGCCTTCCGCGAAGGTGGGGGGGTGAAAAACCATGGAGAACCAATTGATCGACTTCTACAAGGCCATCGAAGACAGCAGCGCCAAG